GATCTACATATAACCCTCTCCCTGGGGGACGGACAACAGAAAAGTGGGTGAAGGGAGACATCGGACAGTGTAAGACATGACAAAATAATAATTTAGAAATTATCAAGGGTTCATGAGGGATAAGGGGTGGGGAGAGGGGGAAAATGAGCTGATACCAAGGACTCAAGTAGAAAGCAAATGTTTTGAGAATGATGATGGCAACAAATGTACAAATGTGCTGGACACAATGGATGTGTGGATTGTGATGAGTTGTATGAGCCCCCAATAAAATGATTTAAAAAATTGTGTCATGGGAACTTGCATTCAGGGCTTGATCACAAGTGTGAATGTAGTGAAGGACTTCTCTGGGCTGGGAAAGGTCACCCCGGTTGGGGTCAGGCCAGCTACCTATGGTGGGGTTGGGGTGGGGGGGCACTGACAGGTGCTCTCTGGGCAGCCTTTCTGCCCCTGTTCTGTTTCCTCTGGCAGTACTGCCTGGACCAGGACAGGAGGAAACAGAGCTTCAAGGTGATTAGCCCCCAGGGAGGGGGACACCGTTGACCAGGGAGAGGCCGGGTGACCAATGGCCCATAGAGGAGTTCAGGAGAGCCATAAGTATGGGCCCACTCCCAGAGTAGGAGTGGCCAGTCCCCCTGGGCCTCACTTCCCACCCAGTCATCCCTCCAGCAAGGCAAGCCAATGTCTCCTGGGGGGTGACCTCAGCTTTGCAGCCAGTCTCATCCTCGATCCACACCCATTCATGGTTCCTACTCTCCCCCTGTCCCGGGAGACTGGCTCCCGGGAGACTGGCTCCCACTGCAACCCCCCTCACTCCACCCCCTAGCACCCTGCTGGCTTCTCCTGGGGTTTAGCCAATCAAAGGTCCTCCCCGGAGCCTGGGCATGCGAGGAGAGGGGTGCAGCTAGAACACTGTCATCGTGAGACAAGGCTCTCGGCTCACACACTTTGGGCATGTGCTCAGGAGAGATCAGTCCCTGGCGAAGGACATCACGCTTGGTAGTCAGTGGAAGGGCAATCCAAAGGATTGACCCCGTGGCTGCCACAACGGGCTCGAACCGAACCATGGTGAGGGTGGCACGGGCCGGGCAGTGTTTAGTCTTTTTTCTGGGACTGGGTCTGGAGCCGACCCAATAGCATCTACCCACGAGGGCAGTTACCGTCATCCCGAGGAGATAGTTCAGGTTCTGTTCCAAACTGTCCCACTAAAGCGAATATCCCAGCCCAGTCGTCACGTGCCTCCTGTGGGTTCCCTGATGCTCGCACCACCCCGTCGTGTTGAAAACAGTTTGGCATCTGGAGAGAATGGCCCCAATGGGACACAGAGGTACGGAGGTAGATGAGCGGCGAGCGGAGACTTGGAGAGGATAGGCACCCCTGCAATGGGGCGCCCTTCCCTCCTCTAGCCGCCCACGCCTCCCAGGGCAGTCCCTCCAGGAAATCCTCTTCTCTCAGACCCCGGCCTGGACCAAACGGCGCCTCTCCTATCCTCGCTTCTCCTCGCTGCCCAGGCCCACAACACGCACACAGCTGCAGCTCCGTCCGCCCTTCAGGGTCTTGGTTTCAATCAGAGATATGCCATCTCGCAGGTAGCAGGTGGGACACCTGGCTTGGCCGAGGACCTGGTGATGTTGCTCTGTCTCCCTGCCCCCTGATACTCCTTCTGTGCCGTGGAGGGGCACCTCCGAATAATCCCCACGTGGGCTGGAGAAGCCCGACTCCGCCCCTGGGTGACTTTAGCAGCCTTGCCCTGCCCAGCCAAGGCCTCTGTCAACAACAGTGATGCCCGGGAGGCAGTGCCCACACCAACTCCCTGGTCACAACCCTTCAGAGGAGGGAGTGGCTCCCAGGGTGCCTGGCAGGCCAGAGCCTCCTGGCTGCATCCCTTCACCTCTCGGCACCCCTTGTGCCCATTCCAGTGGACGCCCTCTCACACAATGCAGGTGCCCACCCTACGGCCACTGTCACCGGGTGGGAGAAGGCGCCATCACAGAGGCAGCTTTGGGGTTGAGGTGCTGGTGGGGAGACCCGCGGCAACGTGATACCACCTGGGTACCTAGAAGGCGTTGTACAACCTCTCCTTTGACTTATAAAATAGTTGTCAGTCCTCCCTGGTGGTCCAGAGAGAACCCAGCCAAGGGACTTTCTGTTGAGATGGCAGAAGGACTGTTACCCAGCAGAAAAGCCCCCTAACTAATGAGTTGAAACTGGCCGGGCACTGGAGGGGGCTGTGGCTGGTCCCTGAGGCTTGTGTGCATTGTCTGAGGCTGACCTGTAGATGGGAGTCCTGGGGGCTGGCGAGTGCTTACACATTGGACTGCCGACTGCCAGGTCCACAGTTTGAAACCACTATGTGCTCCGTGGGAGAGAGACGAGGCTTTCTACTCCCATAAACAGTCAGTCTTGGTAACCCACAGGGGCAGTTCTACCTGTCCTATGTGGTCGCTATGAGTTGGCATTAACTCGACAGCAACGAGGGGTTTTTTTGGTTCCATGGATGGGGAGCTACTTCAGAGGATCAATTGTGTCCCTTGGTGGAGGGTCCTGGGTTACCGCTGGCTGCCCTGGGGGGCCCCTTAACTGTGTGGCATGTCTCCCCTCCCTTGGTTCTGGGCTTTGGGAAGGCCTGCCTGCCTCCACCTCAGCAAACCCCACGTGTTAATAGCAGACAGCACAGTGAGCTGAAACCTTCCTTGTCCTTTGGCCTGGGAACCCGAGTTCTGAGCCACAAAAGGGTGGGGAGACAGGGAAAGGCAGCTGAGGTACAGGTAACGCCTCCCCCCCCCCCAGGGGCAGAAGCTGAGAGGGTAGGCGGGCTTTAAATCAGGATTCTTACCTGGGTGCCCACCCACTTGCCTGAGAGCCTGCTGCAGGAGGTTGACTCGGGAGCCAAGGTCACAGGGGTCCTTGGCTACCTCCCCTACGATGCCTTTCCCCCAGACCCCACAAGACCACCACTGCAGCCAGTGCCTAATGCTCCGTCTGCTTCTCCTGACATAAGGGGAGTGTCTGCCCAGAGCGCACCCTGGCAGAGTGTTCAGGTTTGCTGGTGTTTTCCGGAACAGAGATTCTAGGTGCTTCCGTTTCCACCTTGGAGCCACACTTGCCCGAGGGTTCTAATGAAGAGACAGCCCCCTCCCCCTCACTGGCCCACCCTGGCACTGCACAAAGTGCAGCACAAATAGGACACAGGGACCGTTTATTCCCTTCTCCCCTGTGCAAGAAGCTGAGAGCAAGTGGCTAGGGGATCCCGGCTACTTCTGCGAGGTGAAAGGAGCTATTTATTGCCCCTAATAACAGAGAAAAGGTGGGAGAGAAGGCAGTAGTGGCTCCAGGTAGAATCCTCACTGTCCATGCAGCAGACCCAGGTTCAGTTTCAGGCTATGCACCTCAAGGGCAGAGGCTCGCTTGCCGGTGGACATTTCAGTGGCTGCTTGCAGACCAAGACAGACTAGGAAGAAAGGCCTGGTGATCGACTTGCAAAACTTAGCCTCTGCCCACTCTATCTATCGATCGATCCACAGCTGGTCAGGGGGCAGGTGCAGGGCCAAGCAGTAGTTTCATTGCAGTGTGCCCGGGGGTTGCTGTAAGTGAGCTGGGTGTCACTGCCACTTCCTTCAGCACATCGGATATACAAGTGTCAGCTGTGCCAATGGGCCTTTCTGACCTGGCAGACCTGACCTTGGCCAGTCCCATCCGGGAGCTCTGATTCCAGAACTGCGGTGGGTAAATCTGCATTTTAAACAAGCTCTCCCAGGGATCCTGAAATAAGTCCACCCAGAACTGGGAACCCAGCTGCCGGCTGCTAGACTGTGCGTTCTCCCTCTGCCCCAGAGTAATTCTTAAAAAAACAAATGCGGTGAATAAATAAAGACAGTTTTCAAGATGTTCATGGAATGACTTTTTTTTCTCCCTTTTTACATATTTCAACTAGTTAAGACAATAACATTACAATGATTGGCTTCTTTCATTTCGTTACATAAATAAAATTTTTATAAATATCTCTCTATAAACAATATAAATAGCTTTACAACATAAATACGTTTATGCACGACATGAATTTACAAACAGCAGTGGTTTACAGCTGGTCTTGCCAGTCTTTGAAAAGCTGTCCCTTTGTCATCAAGTCGGTGTAGGTGTGTGTGTTTCATGTATATAATCTATTTATCATATATAGAACTTTTTATTATTATTTTTTCCATGGAAACGAACAAACAATGAAATCACGGCCCCCACGGCCCCCAGAATCATAAAAATCATCAAACAGCTGGTGGTGTGTCTCCCCAGGACCGGGAGGAGGAAGGAAGGAAGAGCCACACTTCCACGGAGATGCTTCCAGAGGCTGGGGGGCTGATGGTCATGGAAACCTCATCACAACGGAGCCGTGTCCCAGTCCTGAAACACAGAGCGGGCACTCAGAGCTCAGTCCCGGCCCCTTTGCTGAGCAAGACCAGCCCTCGGGGCAGTTCTAGAACCTTCTTCCCATTTCCTGAAGTAGCATGAGGCGGTGCTTCTCCACCTGTGCCCTACAGCCATGGGGCAAGGACCTTCCTATAGGGGGATTCCAGGGCCCCCACGGCCCCCTTGGCACTTCCGGCCCCCCACACGGTGGCACCAGCAATCCTGCCAGCCTCTGTCTAACCCTTGATGCTCAGGGAGGCACACTACCAAACCAAAGAAAGAGAATGGGAAGTGTCCTTTCCCTGGGCCCTTACGGCACGAACCCACGGGTCCAGGGCTGGTTTGAAGCCTCGGGGATGGTGGAGGGAGGGGAGAAGAGGGGCCACCTGCAGGTGTGTGGCCTCAGATCCCAACCCTGACACTTGCTGCCTGCCTGGCCCGGTGGACAGGTGTGAGTATCGTTCTTCATTCATAAAAATGGATAATAGCCACCTCCCAGGCCCTCAGATCCACCGGGAGGCAGAGTGTCTGGGTCACAGCTGCCACTCAGTAAGCAGCGCTTCTGTCCCCCACCCCCCACCCTGCTGGCTTTGCTTCAGAAAGAGTCTGGGCCCAGGATGCCCTACAGAAGCTGGGGCAGTGGATGGTGGGGAGGGGGGGTGGAGGGCGGGTTGGGGGTATTCCATTCAGTGGGGTCAGAGCTTCTCAGAGCTATTTGAGGTGGGCCATAGAACCCCCTTTAGCACAGAGGCAAACTGGACAGTTTCCTGACCCTGCTGGTGAGGCGGTGAGATGGTGCCCCCCCCCCCCACTAGCACCAACCGCACACACAGAGGGTCCCCAAAGGGCTTAGGGAACACCCCTCTACTCCCAGCCCTAGTTGCTCCACCTGCAAAAACAGGTGGCAGATGTCTGTGATGTTCCTGGGGCCCATAGGCAAGGTGTTCATTCAGGCACCAGCCCCATCTGTGCCTGTCATTAGCGTTTTATAACCAGACCTGTAACTGGCAGCGACAGTCATTGTGGTGGCTGCTTGGGGCCAAAGCCACCCTCCCAGTGGAGAAACAGCCACAACCTCAGAGGAGCTTCTGTTCCTGGGAATGTCTCGCCTCAGCTGACGCTCTCTCTTGGGCCCAGACCTAGGCCTCCCCAGGCTCTGCTCTCTCATTCAGGGGCTGGGGTGGGGGAATGAATGGGGGGGGGGGCCTGAGAAGGGCAAGGGGGTTCATGCAGGCTCAAAGGCAGAGTTACTAGGAGATTGACACAACCCCCTGCCTGGTTCACAGGAACAAGAAGTCTGAGTAACCTGGATTCCACCCCCCTGGGGCTTCTGTCCAGCTCTCTGACCAGCACCTGGTGCCTGCCATGGTCAGGGCTCCCATGGGGGTTAAGAGGGGTGAGCAAGCCACACCCTTCCCCCTGAAGGTTACAGAACTTTTATTTCCATATCCAAACCCGAGCTTGGGGCCTCAATCCTGGCCTCAAGATGGGAAGCTTGTGACTCCATCGGCTTGCTCTTTAGATGACAGAGCGAAGACCGAAGGCTGTGAGCGCCAGGGCAGCTGGAAGGGCTGGGCCCCCGGCCCCCGACCTACTCCCTGTGCTGGGGTGAGGCCAGGTCACAGGCAACAGACGCCCCTGAAGCAACAGGGAGAAGCACACAGCGGCCAGGGTGGTCTCAGAGAGGAAGGGAATTGGCCTAGATCTAGGGGGGCGCAGGTGACTCGGGTCATTGTTGGGGTGGGGCTGTGGGGACCTCCGTCACCTTGAGCTAGCTCCTAGCTCTCAAGTCAGCATGGCGGGGGGTGGGGGTGTGGGGTGTGGGGGTGGGGTGGGGGAAAGAGGTTCAGCAGTCCCAGGAGGTTAAAGCCAGCTCCCCACCTCGCCTGTTGCCACCAAGTCTGTTCAGACTCAGGACAAACCCAAGGAGTCAGGGCGGAACTGCTCCCTCCCTGGGGCTTTCTCAGCTGTCATCTTAATGGAATCAGGTTGTCAGGTCTTTCTGTCTGCTGAGGGGCTCTTGGGTAGGGTAGAACCACCGACTTTTAGGTTTAAGGGTGGGGGTGCGGGGCAGCTTAGTTCTGTAATAAAAAAAATGTCTAAGTAATTTGCTGGAGAGGGTCCATATATTTCCCACTGGGGGAGGCCATGGACAAGGCTTTATGGACAGGGCGGGCAGGGCCAGGGCAGGAGGGGCCGCAGGACCTCAAGTTAGAAATGAGGATGGTGTGATCCTGAAGCTCTCCTGTGTCAGAGTCAGAAGGTGGAACATTAGGCGGTGGACACGGATGGGGGGCAGGAACAGAGGTGGGAGCAGAGGAGCCGAGGCTCTCCTGCAGACAGTGCCCAGGATGAGCACCCAGCGGAGGCTGGCGAAGCAGAGGTTTACAGCCCTGGAGGAGGGCGAGGAGTCTGAGTCCAACGGGGGGAGCCTAGAAGCCTGATTGTAAAGCATGTAGACATAGAGGTCGGGGCAAAGGCAGAGCGTTCCCAGTCTGCAGCAGGGTCAAGAACGCCCAGGCTCGCTCCAAGCCAGCGGGGGTGGGGGGTGGGGGTGGGGAGGTGGGCAGCAAGCACCATCAGGACCCTGGACAGACTAATCAGCCGGCAGTCAGTCACGGATTAGATAAGGGACAAGAGCCAGCAGGGCCGCCCGATATCAACAGGGGCTCTTCTGCCTCCTGTGAGGGGGGCAGTCATTTCTCCCACTGAGATCTTCACAGACCCTTTACCTGCTAGCGGCGGTGGGGATCAGGGGCTGCGGAACAGCTGACCCTGGGCACCGTCTCTCCACACAGTGGCTAACAAATCAGCACACCCCGGCTTCTGTGTATCCCTCCCCACTTTTCTCCACTCCACACACTCATGCTCTCTCCTTCAACCTCCCAAACGGCAGACTTGGGGCGCTGCTGCTGATTTGGGGGGGTTGGACAGGACCCTATCAAGCCTCCCAGCAGCAGCCAGGTGAGCCCAGGCTGAGCCTCACTGGCCCCATCACTTTGTGGCGCACTTTCTCCCCGGTCAGAGGGGTGGTGAGCGGGTCGGGTCGTGGGAGGAACTCAGTCCGAGCGGCCCGGCAGGGTCCCGGGGCCCGGGGGAGCGGGCCGCAGGGGTCGCGGGGTCCTGGGCGCCACGCGCGGCTGGGCAGGTGCACTCACCGCCGCCAGAGGTCGCCGCACTAACATCCCAGGCCGCTCATGGAGCCGATCCGGTCCAGCTTGAGGCCGAAGCAGCCGTTGGGCAAGCCCTTCTTGTTCCCTTTGTATTTGCGCGAGTTGGGGTTCTCGTGCAGGAGACGAGCCCACGAGGCCCGCGACTTGTTGTCCAAGCGCAGGTCCCGGAGCAGGCGCGACCGGTCCCCCTTGTTGTTGGCGCCGCCGCCCCCGGGCGCCTTGTCGCCCTTCTTATGACCGCCGCCCGCAGCCTGGGTCTCGGTGGCCTCCTCCCCGGACGAGGTGCGCGGGACCTGTCCACGGGCGCACCAGCAATCCTGCCAGCCTCTGTCTAACCCT